TGCTGCTGCAGTTCCAGCAGCGCCAGAGCTGTGGCTCGACTGCTGCAGCATATGCGGCTCGTTCGCTTACCAGCAGCTGCTGCTGCATTGCTGCTGCTGCGGCGAGTCCTTTCATTCTTTTTGTACGGGGATGCCGCCGCCTGGTTCAGTATTAAAGAAGCAGCAGGTGTTAGCATCTCTCTGCAGCAGCAGCAGCAGCAGCAGCAGCAGCAGCAGCAGCAACACAGATGCTGCGTTTCCTCTCACTCTTGCTGCTTGCCCCTCGTGTCTCTGCTGCGTCTGCTGCAGCCAGACAGCCCCTTGTCTCTCTCTATGGGACCCCCGAAATATCAAAGACAGAGCAGCAGCAGCAGCAGCAGGGATGCTGCCAGAAGAGCAGCAGCAGCAGCTGCAACACCACAGACGAAGACACCGCACGCAGCAGGAGACACAAACACCAACTCCTGCAGCAGCAGCAGCAGCAGCAGCTGCTGCTGCTGCTGCTGCTGCTGATCGCATGCTAGATGTTTGTCTCTGCAACGACTGTGGCGCTGCAGCACACAGCAGGTGTCTCTACAGGGTAGAGGAGGTGCTGACGAAGCAGGATCTGCTGCAGCCGCAGCCGCAGCAGCAGCAGCAGCAGCAGCAGCAGCAACCACAGCAGCAGCAACGGCTGCTGCAGCAGCAACCACAGCACCAGGGATTGCTGCAGCAGGAGCAGCAGCAGGCACCTTGGCTGCAGCTGCCGGCGATGGCGGAGCAGCTGCGTGCAGCAGCAGGTGCTGCTTCCTTTTGGGATGCCAGTAAAGATATTAAGGGGTCTAGGGGCCCGCTGCAGCTGCAGCAGCAGCTGCAGCAGCAGCAGCAGCAGCAGCAGCAGCAGCAACAGCAGCAGCAACGGATAACACGTGGCTTTGCATCTGCTGCTGCTGCATCAGATGTCTTACAGGAGACTGCTGCTGCACCGCCGCAGCAGCAGCTGCTCGATCAGCAGCTGCAGCGGCTGCTGCAGCACCAGCCGCAGCAGCAACCTGTGTTGCAGCAGCAAACGCAGAGCTTCCTGCTGCAGCCGCAGCAGCAGCCCCTGGCATCTCAGCAGCAGGTCTCGCCGCAACTGCAGTTGCAGCAGCAGCTGCAGCAGCAACTGCAGCAGCAGCTGCAGCAGCAGTTGTTACTGCAGCAGAACGTGCAGCAACAACCCCAGCAACAAGCGCAGCAGCAGCAACAGCAGCTGCGGCAGCTCTTGCAGGAACGAATGGACAGCCTTCAGAGACAGATAGATGGAGCCGCCAGGCAGCAGCAGCAGCAGCAACAGCAGCAGCAGCAACAACAGCAGCAGCAACGGCAGCAGCAGCAAGAGGCCGGACAGCCCTTGGAAATGCTGAGGACGGCGATGCTGCAGCAGCAGCAGCAGCAGCAAGTTCAGCAGCAGCAACTGCTGCAACGAACCCAACAGCAGCACGGATATCAGCAGCAGCAGCAGCAGCATCTCCTGCAGCAGCTACGAACACAGCAACAGCAGCAGCAGCAGCAGCAGCAGCAGCAGCAGCAACTGCTCGCGGGACCTGCGCAGCAGCAGCAGAATATCATCGATCGCAACGCAGCAATAGGAGCAGCAGCACATTCTGCTGCAGCAGGTCCCCAGTCGCTGCTGCGGCAGGAGCAGCATCTACAGCTGCAGCAGCAGCAGGTCCAGCTGCAGCAGCAGCAAATGCGGCTGCAGCTGCAGCTAGAGAAGCTGCGGGGAACTCCGCCAGCTGCTGCTCCTAGCAGCAGTGCTGCTGTGCCTCGTGCTGCTGCTGCTGCGATTGAACCAGCTTCTGCTGCTGCAGCAGCAAGACAGGCAGAAGCTGCACCAGCAGCAGC